ATAACAGATTCAAAGTGATAAGGCTTAAAAAATGCTGGACTTGAGCAGAGAGAGGGGCAAATAAATACACTATCATACCTGAATAAATTAACACATTCCTTTAGTAAATTATCAAACACAAAGGAAATCATGCATAAATAATATCGAAACATATGAAACAACTTTTAGCTAATATTTATAAATCTTCATTCTGACAAACTACAGAATGAGGTGATATTTTGTTTGTACTATAACAAACAATGCTTGCCTGAAGATCAGAGGAGCAGAGCAGCCAGTCACTAGTTCTTACCTTACTGAGTCCTCAGACCAAATCTAGGAATCTTCAGACTGAATGCAGTGAGCTTCTGTCTCCTCCCACCTTATATTCCTTTCTCCACCCAGACATATCCCATCCTGTCTCAACTTTCCTAGTGCTGGGATTAAAGGCATGCAACCCCCAAGTAATGTGTGAGCTACCACTGCCCTGGCTGTTTCTCTTTTAGACTGGAACAATCCTGTGTGTCCCAGGTGGCCTTGAACTCACAAAGATCCGCTTGCCTTTGCCTCCGGAGTGCTGGGATCAAAGACATGTGCACCACCACCCGGTTTCTATGGCTAACTAGTAGGTAACTCTGCACTCTGATCTTCAGGCAAGCTTTGTTTGTTATAGCACAAACAAAATATCACCACAACACAACGTCCATTTCTTCCAAATGTAGATGGGGAGATTTGCTAATATGCTCCAGAACTACCCCTGCTGTTTGGCTGTTAGTGACATAAAATAATTCAATCATTCTTCAAGGACTACAGTTACACAGAATATATCCTCAAATAAAAAATTGGTGAGTATTAAAATAGTATTCCAAAAGTACTTTGAAATCAAGCAATACACTTATAATTTACCTACCCGTTGAAGAAGATAGAAATGACAAATCCAAATAGAAAATTCATTAAAACATAAGTACCCCCACAGAGAAAATATACAACTTATTCGTATTTTATGTGTTTTGATTTAAATTTGAAAAGTAAGGCATAGAGTAAATAAGAAAGTTAGAAAAAGAGAAAGCTAAACCCAAAGGAGATATGAAAAATTATAGCATAATAGTAGAACTAGTTGAAATAGAAAATAAAAAGAAACAGGCAATATATCAAAGGGAATGCTGCTTATTTTAAAAAAAATCAATGATGGTGATACTCTCATATTAATGCTTATGTTAAGAAGAGAGGAGAAAAAACCTATTACCAATATCTAGAATAAAAAGAACATCATTGTATAGCCTAAATTCATCAAAAGATAAAATTAATATTATAAATCATGTATTTCAAATACTCCATGACTTGTATAAATTTTGAGATAAAAAGTTGAGATTTCAATGCAGTCTTCCCAAAGGAAAAAAATCACCCATGGGTTATTTTAATACTAAATTATATCAAATTCATAAACATAAAAGGAAAATAACAAAAACTTTCTGAGTTACTCCTCAGTTGCTGTGATAGAAGACCATAACCAAATGAGACTGTGGGAAGAAAGTTTATTTTTGTCTGTGTTCCCAGAGAGAGACCATAATGGTGAGGGGAGGAGAAATATAGAAGCAGGGATCCAGAGCAAAAAGCTGACAGATCAAATCTTCAACCACAAACACCAAGTGGAGAGAGAAAACTGTATGGGGTGCAGTGCTATGAACTCTCGAAGCCCAACCCAGTGGGTACTTTCTCCAGCAGCCCCACAATGTCTCCCCAAAGAGCTCCACCAACCAGGGACCAAGTATTCAAATACCGGAGCCTATAGGAGACAAATTTTTATTCAAAGTATCACAAATACTTTACACAACACTTTGTTATATAGAAGAGGAAGAAACAATTGCCAAACAATTTGTGAGACAATGGAAACTTGAATGAACTGACCTAACAAGTTTGAATCTCTGGGTCTACTTCAAAACATCTCAGCATATGAGAAGACTGCTGGGATTAACCCAAGTGTGCCATGTGGAAAAATTGAGAGCAAGACCAAATCTAAATGTACCAGCAATAAACTTCTTTTTCCCATTTTGTATTCAAATCAACATTATTTTGAAATTTGTCTTCAGTGCTTCCAAGTGTCAGGAACTACTCCTACTCATTGGCTGTTAATGACTGTAGTCTGGAGAGAGTAATACTTTCTTTTTCCTAACCCATTACCAGGCGAACTGGAGACTGGAAAGATGAGACCAACTCCCGAAAGTTCTGTCAGCCGGAGGGTGTGGTACCTGTGGTCTCTGCAGTCAGTGTCACACAGCTGTCTCGGTACGTGAGGGAAAAGTCATTAAAAGCGTGTTCATAGAAAACCTGTTTGCCCCTTTAAAGAGGCTTCCCTGTTACTAACTACGCTGGAATTTCTCAGCACGAGTGAAAGCTTTCCCAGTTGTACCTGTGACTTTCTCTCCAATGCAATCGTGTCTGGCAGTGAATCTCCTGATTTTAACATATGTTACAAAGCAATTAGGATGAAAATTTCCTCCAGTCATCCATCTCATATTTTACTATAAACAACAAGAAGAAATCAGGCTGTAGTTCCAACTCTTTCCCTGGAAATTTCCTTAGCCAAACATCCAAATGAATGAATGATTTTCTTCATATAATGTACGCCACAATTCAGCTAAGGGTTCTGCTACTATATAAGAATAAAAGTATTAATTTTCCTTTAGCTTTCAAAATGTTCTCCCTGCCTGGGCCCTTTCTACTAGTAACTTTAATGTCTATATTTCTCTCCATAGTTTCCTTTAAATGATTTATAAGTTCTATGTGCCACCATGTTCTATAAGCACCAAGCTCCTCAATTCCTTTTGCACCTTCACTAACATACTTGTCACATTTCTCCCAAGTCTGTACAGAGCAATCTGAGCCTTTTCTAGTCTGTGTCTGCAATTTCATCTGTCCTCTGACCACAGCCCAGTTTAAAATTCACTTCCATAAATACATATGGTTTATTTTTCAGGCAGGGTTTCTCTGTGTTGCCCTGACTGTCCTGGAACTCATCCTGTAGACCTGGCTACAGGCTACCTAGAGATCTTGCTGTCTCTGTCTCAAAAGTGCTGGGATTAAAAGGTGTGTGTCACCACTGCTGGCCCCACTTCCATATTTTAAGTCATTCTATCAACTTCATCCTAGTCTAGGTACCAAATTTGTATCAGTCAGGTTTCAACCAGAGAAATAGAGACTTTATAAAACATATCACAAGTAAGTGACTTATTCTACTGTGGGAATTTGCTAGGAAGTTCAAAATCTATATGGCAGGTTGAAATAGTGAACCACATCTATAGTCCTTAGAAATTTCTTATTCTGTCCTCTCTCTTGGCATGCATGTATGTTTTCAAAACAGGGTCTCACTGTGCAACTCTGGCTATCCTAGCAAAACAGGGTCTCACTATGCAACTCTGGCTATCCTAGCAAAACAGGGTCTCACTGTGCAACTCTGGCTATCCTAGCAAAACAGGGTCTCACTAGTCGAGGCTGGCCTTGAACTCTTCCTAACACTGCCTCCCAAATGATTTAGGATATACTCCCTATTTTAAGTTTAGTTTATTGGCAACCTTAATTTCATTTCTATTTTATCTTTATAATGTAAAGTATCACTTATAGGTTCTAGGAATCAGTATGAACAGCTTTGAGGTCATCATGTTTTTTTACTATTTCTCCAAATCATTCAACACGTTATCAACATATCCATTACTAAAATTTGTTTGACAAAATAATGTTAATTCTATAACACATTTTGTTCCAAACTCCTTATCAGTCAGAGCCATGTCTGTTAGGATTCATGGCTGTGCAACCCTGGCCAGTCCCCTGGTGGGTGGCAGACTGAGATGGGTGGGAGACAGACAGATACAACATACAGAGAGAGCTTGGATATAGAGTTTATTTAGTAGGTATTGGTAAGGGTGTAAGGATAAGGAGTTAAGCTGGGAGGAAAAAGAAAGAGAGGGGGAACAGAGAAAGAGAAGAAAGAAGGGAGGAAGGAGAGGCAAAAGCTGCCTTTTCAGAAGAAGGGACAGAGGAGAGGGGAGGGGGAGAAGGCTTGCGATCCCCTTGCCTTTGCTGTAGGAAGGGGGAGATTGGGAGTGGACAGGACTTGTCTCTTAAAGGGACGGGGTACCCAGGTGATAGGGCAGACCAGAAGATTTGTTATTCCAACATTGTCATCATCCAAAGCAAGTAGATACTGGCAATGTTATACCACCAGGAGGTAACCTGAGCCCAGAATTGGGGGTTTACATCAAGATATCCTCACTATAGGTGAGAACAGCAAGAAATACATCATTGTTCCTGGAATCTATTGACTTTACAGAAACTTCCTCACCACAGACATCGGGAGCAGCATGCCAAGGGCTCCCATCAACTAAAGATAACAGGGAGGCTTTTATTCTTTTCTGTATTAATTTAGGCAAGAAAGAAGAGGCAATATGGATACATTTTATGAGATGATATTTACAGTGAACATTAAAAAACTTGAAATTACCTTGCTACTTCCTATTGGAGAAATGAAAACATAAACAGAGGATCTGAAAGACACTTGGTATTAATGAATATGAACTTCTTCCAAAAATAACACAAAGGAGGCGACTGAACTCTTAGTAACACCCCCCAAAAAAACCAAGCAAACAAAAACCTATGGACTTTCAATTTTAAAATGAAGTATGATTTATTTATTTATTTTTAAAGATTTATTTGTTTATTGTGTATACAGTATTCTGCCTACATTCATGCTTGCAGGCCAGAAGAGGGCACCAGATCTCATTACAGATGGTTGTGAGCCACCATGTGGTTGCTGGGAATTGAACTCAGGACCTTTAGATAAGCAGGCAGTACTCTTAACAACTGAGCCATCTCTCCAGCATCATAAAGTATGATTTAAAAGAAATCATATATTCTTCTGTGGTGTCACACCTTCAGGAATGTATTTTTATTTTTTTTTGAGAATTAACATGCCATGTTCATCATATAGCCCAGGCTGAGCTTGAATTCTCTATGTAGTAAATGACCTTGAATTCCTGATAGCCTGCCTGCACCTCCAAATGCTGGGATTACAGGGTGATTCTGCACAAGCACTCTATAAACTAATCTGTTCTCTTGTGTTCATTAGAAGAGATTCACATCCTTTGAGAGAGAATATGGCAAATTCAGGAACACAAAGTGCCCTGATGTAAAATGTTCAGTAACAACAGAACTGGAAAAATACTCACACAGTTAACAAGCTAGTAAACAAACGATAACATTCCTTAAACTAGCAGAGAAATAAAAACAAATACAATTAAACATTACTACCAAATTTGAAAAGAAAATGCTAAATCAAAAGAGAATTAATTACACAGCAAGTGAAACGTGAAGTTTCACAAGCCTAAAATACTCGGGAAGGGTGAATAATCTGCTGATTGCCCATCAGAGTTTTGGTTTAGAATATTGGTAAACGCCGGCTTCATGAATCTGAACTCATTACTCTGAGAGTCTCCGGTCAGACAAACCTCATACTGGAGGCTCTGGGACAGGGTCCCCGCGCCGCTGACATCTATCAGGTGGCCAGGAAAGTGTCCCTCAGGCACAGAACAGCCACCCAGAGAGGACGCCCTGGCCCTCCTGCACAGCCTCACCCCTACAAACAGCAGCACAGACAAGAGGAAGAGAGAAGACACAAATGCCAAGGCGATGACCAGGTACAGCGTGAGCTCATCCTCATCTTGGGCAGGGTCGCGCGCCACCTCCGGTAGAGGCAGGTAGGGCTGAGAGAAGCCATCCACCAGCAGCACATGCAGAGTGACACTGGCAGACCGCGGAGGATCGCCATTGTCCTTGACCAGCAGCAGCAGCCTGTGCTTGGGCGCATCGCGCTCGCTCAGCAGCCTGGAGGTGCGCACCTCGCCATTGTGAGCCCACACGCTGAACAGTCCAGGCTCCGTGGCCTTGAGCAGCTGGAACGACAGCCAGGCATTCTGGCCAGAGTCACTGTCCACTGCCACCACCTTCGTGACCAGGTAGCCAGGCTCTGCCGCCCTGGGCAGCAGCTCTGTGAAGGGCGCAGAGGCATTCTGCAGAGGGTAGAGCACGAAGGGCGCATTGTCGTTGGCATCCAGCACCTGGACCCGCACCAGCGCCTGGCTGCTGAGCGCGGGCGAGCCTTGGTCTGTGGCCCCCACTTGGAACTCGAAGTTCTGCAGCGCCTCGTAGTCCAGAGCCCTGAGCGCGAACAGCTGCCCATTGTCGGCGTTGATGGAGATGAGCGAGGAGAGGTCCAGCTGCGGGTCGTGGGTGGGCAGCAGCGAGTAGGTGATGTGGGCATTGGAGCCTGAGTCTGAGTCTGTGGCGCTGATGGTGCCTATGTGCAGGGCGGGGCTGTTGTTCTCCTGGACCAACAGGGTGTAGGAGGTTTGTGTGAAGGCGGGGGCGTTGTCGTTGACGTCGGACACCTGCACTGTTATGGTATGCTGGGTTGTGAGCCTGGGTGTGCCCATGTCGCTGACTGTGATGGTGATGTTGTACTCAGCTCTTTTCTCTCTGTCTAACCCGCTCTCTGTCATCAGTCTGTAGAAGTTTTCAACAGAAGGTTCCAGTACAAAAGGAATACCATCTTGGATGGAACAAACTGTCTTTCCATTTTCCGCAGAGTCTCGGTCCCGAATTCGAAATAGAGCCACTTCTGTCTCTGGTGAGTTTTCTGGGATGGGGCTGGTGAGCGAGGAAACAGTTAGTTCTGGGTAGTTATCATTGACATCCACCACCTGAATAGAAACGGAACATTTCCCAGAAAGCCCCCCGCCATCAGAGGCCTCTATGTCTATTTCATATGAAGATGCTGTCTCGAAGTCCAGGGTTTTAATTAGTCGAACTTCTCCCGACAGGGCGTTTAGCTCAAAAGTTTTACCCATCTCCTGAGAACGATGAAAAAAAGAATACGATACTTCTCCGTTTGTCCCAGTATCTAAATCCTTGGCTGAGACCTTGGCAACCAGGGAACCCACGGGGCTGCTCTCTGGGATCTGCACCTGATAGAGCGCCTGTGCAAATTCAGGGGCGTTGTCATTGACATCCAAGACAAGAATCCGAATTTGTGAGGTGCCAGTCCTGGGCGGAGAACCTCCATCCAGCGCTGTCAGAGTTAATCTGAACTCTGCCTGCTTCTCGTGGTCAAGCTCTTGGTCCAGCACCAGCTCTGGGTATTTCCTCCCATCACCTCGGGTTCGGGTGGAAACATGGAAATGGGAATTGGTACTGAGGCTATAGTTCTGAATGCTGTTGTTGCCCACATCCAAATCCTGAGCGCTTTTTAGTAGAAACACAGAACCAACAGAGCTAGTTTCTGAGATTTTCACGGTCATTTCTCTCTCAGGAAACTCGGGAGAATGATCATTTATGTCTCCCACTCGTAGCTCAGCTCGGAATATTTCCAGTGGTTTTTTCAGTAACACTTGGAAATGTGTGACACAGGGCTCAGTGGGGCCGCACAGCTCCTCCCGGTCCAATTTTTCATTTAATATCAGCTTCCCAGTCTGTAGATCAAGCTGCAAGCGGGATTCGTTATCCTCAGAGACCACCTGGGCTCCTCTAGCAGCCAGCTCTGCAACTCCTAGCCCTAAGTCCTTGGGCAGATCAGCCAAAAACGTGCCGCTGGGTGTTTCCTCCAAAACAAAGTAATGGCGGGACTCCCAGCCCGCCCCAGCCACTCCCAATAAGAGAAAGATCAACAGAACTTGCCTTTGTCCGTGCTCCTTTCCCATCTTCATCTTTGCTTCGGCACCCAGGGTCCAAGGGCACCCAGACAGCGGTCGATCTGTCAGTCTATAACCTGTTCCGAAGCATAGGTCAGCAGCATTCTCTGGAGACTTAATGGTTTGAGCTCTTCTATGGTCTTTTTTTAGCCAGAGACGTGAAACATTTTTCCCTTTTCCGCGGTCGTCCTTTTTTAAACCTTAGCCTGCAGCGCCACCATGCGTTGATTTTGCTTCTCAACAAATCGCTACATGGTTCCATTTTTTTTTTTATGTAGTCTATTTTGGTTGTCAGAAGTTAGAAAATAAATTCAATCACGAAATTAATGTTATTTTGATTGTGCAGTCCCTCAGTAAGCAAAAGGAATTCTTGTTATTAATGTGTCAGATTCTGAAAAATACACGAGTAAACAACCCAGACAAGTTGCCTCCCTACTAGAAACCCTGCAACTGCGCTGGGACACTCTAGGGGAAACTGAGAAATGAAAGGAGACATAGAACTGATTGATCAGTCATCTTGTAAAATTCCTAACATACAGGGATGCAATTTCAAATTCAGCATAAAGTGGGGTCATTACTTCGGGGCTTCTTTGTAAGTTTATGTCTTCCAGGTAACAAAATTGTGGTTCACATTGGTTGATTTTTCATAAAGGAAAAAATCTACATGTTAGAGCCAGGTTATGATACACTCTCTACATATTTCCAGAAACTTAAAATGTTGTAAAACTTTTCACCTAGGGGAAAATTAGATGAAAGCACCTCTTTCCTCATTCTTTCTCCCTGGTGTTCTTCATCACAGGTACTGTAGAGGAATGTGTTTGAGTGTTTCTTTTGGGTACCCTGTAAGGACTTCAGCATTGTTTGCTTCACTGCTGCATCCCCACACCTAAAATAATCCTTGGGACAGAGAAGATGTTTAATTCATCATAGAATAAAGCACAGAATTGTGTGGCTTTTCCTCCCATTGTAGATGAATCTTGCTTTGTTGGAAACCTAACTCATTATAATAAGCCGAATGAACAGGACAGCATCTTCTTACTCTGTATTCTTTCAGTAGTCACTTGAAATAACACAGTGTGTCTAAGCCATCTGTCCCTTAAAGGAAAAACATTGTGGCTTGTCCTAACTAAAGAGGGTCTTTACTGGCTCTGAACTCAAGAACTTGCCTCAGTTACCACCACTTCTGACTTCAAAATTACCCATTTTGACAAAGACTACACATTCCCTTTTCATGTTTCTGTAATAGTTTACAAAGCTTTTGGATGTGTTATAGTAGCATGCATGCACAATTCAAATAAAATACAAAATTAACAGGAATAATTCACCAATCCAGGCAAGAATTTCTCAGCTGGACTAGAAAAATCTATTTAAAGAGCACATCTTAGTTCTCTGTCCCTCCCCAGTCCCACCCAACAGTGAAAGCTGACTTGGGGATTACTGATAAGAATGTCTTCCACGGACCACCTGTCTGTTTCCTTCCTTTCCTCTCTCAGAGGTGTGACTTCTGCTATGTCCCCAAAAGATGACATCACTTTCTTGTTTCATTCCTAACAGAAAGACTAGCATACATATGGTTTCTAAAGTGATTATGAAAGTAAACAGGACCAGCCTGGCTCAGTTTAGATTAGCAATGCCCATCACGCCATCCAATTGTCTGAACGTAGAGGGACCTGAGTTGTACAAAACAAAATCAGCTTCGGTCCTATACCTATGCTGAAGAGAGAGATATTTTCAGAAAGCATAATGTGGGCTAGTCAGATGTCCCAGGAGGGATCTGGCATTTAACAAATTTTGAAATATCTAAAAACATTTTAACAATATTTATATGTATTATATATTGGATGTACATATGAAGACAATAAAAGCCTTGGTACTTCAGAGATATTGTCGTTCCCAATTAATACTGTTGTACAACAAAATCATGCATTTTCAGATACTCTATTTGGGATGGGAAAGCATAATATTGGACAGAAAATACACTGATAACATGACATCTCTATCGCATTTCAAACTATCGAGAATGTTTCTGGACAACGGTCAATAAAATGAAAGTGAGCATTTTCAAATCAATAATGACTCATGTTGACAATCTGACAAGTTGAAGAAACACTGATTGGTCAGGAACGAGCAAAGTTCTCTGTCTTCACCAGAAGCGATTTTATAAAACAGACTCACCTGTAACAGATTGTGAGGGGCTAGAAATTCCTTGTGAAGATAAACAATGGGAAACAAGAATGTAGAGTGAACGTTCATCCGGAACCATCTGCAAAGTCAACGGATTCTTAATTGTATCCAAAACCATTCACAGAAGTAGAGTTCTCTTCCATGAAATTCACAACCTCATGGTTGGGAGACACAGATTTTAGTAATTGAAAATCTTTGGTATCTGACACTCCAGTCAGGCACACCTCATACTGGTAGCTCTGGGACAAGGTACCCGCTCCGCTCACGTCCACCAGGTGTCTAGGAAAGTGTCCCTCAGGCACAGAGCAACCACCCAGAGAAGCCGCCTGGGCCCTCCTGCACAGCCTTATTCCCACGAACAGCAGCACAGACAACAGGAAGAGAGAAGACACAGACGCCAAGGCAATAACCAGATACAGCGTAAGCAAGTCTTCATCGTCGTGCGTGGGGTCTCGCGCCACCTCAGGCAGAGGCAGGAAGGGCTGAGAGAAGCCATCCACCAGCAGCACATGCAGAGTGACACTGGCAGACCGCGGAGGATCGCCATTGTCCTTGACCAGCAGCAACAGCCTGTGCTTGGGCGCATCGCGCTCACTCAGCAGCCTGGAAGTGCGCACCTCGCCATTGTGAGCCCACACGCTGAACAGTCCAGGCTCCGTGGCCTTGAGCAGCTGGAACGACAACCAGGCGTTCTGGCCAGAGTCACTGTCCACAGCCACCACCTTGGTGACCAGGTAGCCGGGTTCCGCCGCTCTGGGCAACAGCTCTGTGCAGGGTGCAGAGGAATTCTGCAGCGGGTAGAGCACGAAGGGTGCATTGTCGTTGGCGTCCAGCACGTGGACCCGCACTAGCGCCTGGCTACTGAGCGCGGGCGAGCCTTGGTCTGTGGCGCCCACGCGGAACTCGAAGGTCTTCAGCGCCTCGTAGTCCAGCGCCCTGAGGACGAACAGCTGCCCGTTGTTTGCATTGATGGAGATGAGCGAGGAGAGATCCAGCTGCTCGTCGTGGGTAGGCAGCAGCGAGTAGATGATGTGGGCATTGGAGCCTGAGTCTGAGTCTGTGGCGCTGATGGTGCCTATGTGCAGGGCGGGGCTGTTGTTCTCCTGGACCAACAGGGTGTAGGAGGTTTGTGTGAAGGCGGGGGCGTTGTCGTTGACATCAGAGACCTGCACTGTTATGGTGTGCTGGGTTGTGAGCCTGGGTGTGCCCATGTCGCTGACTGTGATGGTGATGTTGTACTCAGATCTGCTCTACCTGTCCAGTGTATTCTCTGTTACTAGAGTGTAGAAATTTTTGAAAGTAGGTTTCAAGAGAAAAGGAAGGTTGTCTTGAATTGAGCACAGCATTCGGCCATTGTCTCCCGAGTCTTGGTCTCTCACACTGAAAACAGCGACTACCATTTCTGACAGGCAGTTTTCGGGAATGGGGCTCATAAGAGACGTAAAGACTATTTCTGGCGGGTTGTCATTCACGTCTATAACTTGAACAATAATGGCTGATTTTCCAGAGAGACTCCCACCGTCAACAGCTTGAACATTTATTGTATAAGACTGAATTACCTCAAAATCTAGGGGTGCTTTCAAATGGACTTCACCAGAAACTGGATGGATTCTGAATGTTTTCCATACATCTCCAGAGACATGAGAAAATGAATAAGATATTTCTCCATTTACCCCTGTGTCCAGATCTGTAGCCGACACCTTGGTCACCAGTGAGTCCACAGGGCTGTTCTCTGGTACTTGAACCTCATACAGTGTTCTTTCAAACTCAGGGGCATTGTCATTGACATCTACAACCACAACTTGAATCAGTGCCGTCGCTGACCTGGGCAGGGACCCACCATCCAGGGCTGTTAGTATTAAACTAATTGAAGGCTCCTTTTCTCTGTCCAGAGATCCATCCAGTACCAACTCTGGGTATTTTCTTCCCTTACCATTGTCTTTTAACTTAAGGTAGAAATAGGGGTTAGGGCTTATTGTATAATTTTGGACACCGTTCATTCCTACATCTAAGTCCTGAGCACTAGCCATTTGGAATGAGCTTCCTGGACTAGCACCTTCTGAGATATTTAGAAATATGAGTTTCTCTAGGAACGTGGGAGTATGGTCATTTATGTCTTCAACCAAAAGCTCAGCCTGAAAAAATTGCAAAGGATTTTCCAATAACACCTGGAAATGCAATATACAGGGTTCACTGGTACCACAGAGTGCCTCCCTGTCCAGCTTTTCATTCAAGAGCAAGTTGCCGGTCTCAGGTTCTAACCGCAAATAAGGCTGATAGTCATCAAATATAACTCTGGCTCCTCGTGCAGCCAGGTCTCCCACACCCATATCTTTAATTATATTGGCTACAGAGGAGCCGGTCTCCATTTCTTCTGCCACAGAATAGCTCCAGGTCTCGGAAAGAACCAAGGACCCTTCCAGGAAAACAAAATAAAGCAGCACTTGCCTTATATGCTGAACAGCCCTCCTCACTCTTGGCTCCATCATCGCTCAGACAAGATGCTTTTCTGCTGTTCTCTTTCAGCTCAGTCTCTGGCAGCTCAGAGGGCGGTTTTGCTCATCTAGACCTTTTGGAATTTGTAGATGAGCAGTCCTTTCAGGAGGGTCTTGTCAGTGCTCCACCTTTTTAGAATGCTGGTGTGCTGTTTCATCCGGTGCTTTCACTTCCGCTGGTTAAGGGGAAAACTGAGCTGCAGTTAGGAAACTGTCTCCCATCTTATCCTGCAGCGCCACCATGTGACTTTATCAGGATTCGACAAAGCCGAATAAGTTTGAGACAATATACTAATTTATTGGATGTATTGGTTAACAAATCTAAATTATATGTTCTTCTTTATTCCCATTTCCATTTCTGAGTTGTAGCTTTTGTGAGTAACACAATAAATTACTCTCCGATAGAGCTGTGCTGGTGAAATGGTTTAAAATAGAATTCTTGTTTCAAACAGTTCCTGGTCTCTCCTTGAAGACAACAGTAAACTAAAGATAGTTCAAAGGGCTCCCATGTCAATGACTTTACAAAGATGAGCAAGAGATTCTTAGGAAAATTGAAAATGGCATCCTAGAGATCCCTCCTAGTCATTATTAGATGCTCTCAGGAAAGGCTGGAAGGGTGTGTTTATGCACTTGAAGTTGGGTCTGGTATGTGCAAAATTAAATGGTTGTGTGGGGAACTTGGACACTTGGGTTAGGTAAATGGTACCATTTCCATAGGACTTCTCATATGAGACTTTCTTGGCTGCAGTAGAAAG